TTTTAGCGACTCGTGGTACATAGCTTCGTTTTATGGAAGAATAGCAGTTATTGATATTTACTCTAGTTTTATTGTTTTATATCAAATATCGTCTTTTCGGACTAAGAGATACCCTAAACTTGTATCGGATCTAAATTATGCAAGATGTAAATTAGATTGTATCTAATTTAGTTTCTTTTGTAGAAACACCTCAAAGTTCAAATTAAGCCGAAACAGTGATGAACTTAAAGTTTTACGTGAATATATCATCTCTGTCATTTTTATACCTTTTTCTAAGAAATATAATTGCTCTTACATCTTTTCTCACGGAAAAATCAAGATTTTAATGATACAAATATTCAGTGACATTTTTTCTTCTCAGGTCAAAACAAATAGAACGAGACAGGGAAAATTTTAGTATAAAACCTTGATTTTTTCGGTAAGAAAAAATGTGAGAGCAATTATATTTCTTGAAAAAAGGTATAAAAATGACAGATGATATATTTATGTAAAACTTAAGGTCATCACTGTTTCTGCTTGATTTTCATATTGATTCACTCTCTCTTTATATGTGTGCAATACCCCTCTCTCATTGCTAATATTTCTGTCACTCTCCTTTTGTCTTCTGCACTATACATATTGGTTGTACAGCACCTACATTTCAGTCTATGTTCGGGTTTAGTCTCAATTAGCTAATTTAAGGATTATTTATACGGTTAATTTGGTTGTTGTTCAATTATTACTGGCCCTCATTAACATGCATAAACGGTCTACTGCGTCGACCAAAAACAGTCAGTTGTGGAGCAATAATTACGAACATTTAGCATTACACCCATCGCCTCTCCCAGGTCAACTGGAAGAGATGATGACCAATAAAATCAAGAACGATCCATCACTACAGCAACAAATATCAGATATTGTGAAATCAAACGATAATAATATTTCCGTTGCAGCTGAATCGATCGTCTCGCTATTTACACCGGTGTTTCAAACATTTAGTGACCGTCTTACCAGTCTTGAAGACAAAATTGATGACCTTGAAGGATATAATCGAACGTGGTGTTTACGTTTTCACGGTTTTTATGAAGAAAAAAATGAAAATATCGTTGAAAAAATTGCTTCATTTACAAATAAACAACTTGAATTATCCCCAACAGCTACTGAGAACTGTCACCGCATCGGCCCATTCAAGCATGGTCAACATCGTCCGATCATTGTACGTTATGTTAGTCGGCCTACTCGTCAAGAAAGTCTTCGCTCAATATATCGACTAAAACGAAAAAACTCCAAAATTTTTGTTGTTGAAGATTTAACAAAAAAACATTAGCTTTATTTCATTCAGCTCGTGATTCAGTTGAGCAATGTGAGGGGAAAAGAATTGTTATCAGTTCAGACGGTTCGTTTTATGATGTCAACTAATCTACAGAATATGGGCGATAACACGCATTCTGTGGTATTGCTGAACATTCGCAGTATCCTCTCGTCTAGTACTCGAAAAAAAGAAAAAGAGAAAAATTCGTTAAAAAAAATAGATCAATTAAAATTATTTATATCGCTAAAATCTGGTTGTTATTGCTATAGTAGAATCATGGCTAGATACATCAATAAAAGACGAAGACATAAATATTTTAAATTATACTTACTAGTCATCGATTAGACAGAGACAAAAGAGCAGGCGATTGTTTACTGTATACACGTAATGATATTCTCTCTACTAGTCTGTTTTCCTTCGATAATATAAAATTTGAAACCATGTTTTTTGCTCGTATCATCCCTGAAACGGGAAATGTTTTGCTGGTTCTATCTTACAGAACTGAATCGACTGCTGTCTAATTCTTTAGGTAAAGCTATGTCAACTAGATCCTTTGTTGGTCTTCTGATGTTGGGTGACTTCAATGCTCACTGTGATAAGTGGTGTGCCACTCGCCCTTCAACGTCAGAAGGAGATAAACTCTTTTCGTTTGTGGACAGTATGGGACTCTATCAATTAGTCAGAGAATGGTTTGAGGATTACTTACTAAATCGACATTTCACAACAGTAGTTGGAGGTAAACAATCAAAACCTATTCGTATTAACTGCGGCATACCGCAGGGAATTATACTGGGTCTTCTGTTATTTCTCATTTACATAGATGATATTGGACACGATCTGACTTCTAAGACTCATATTTTGGCCGATGACACGTTACTATACAGTAGCGATGACAACCACAAAAAAGTCACCGCGATTTTGAACAATGATCTTGATATGGTTTATCAGTGGTCTCTACGATGGCAGCTACCAGTAAACTTAATAAGGTGTGTCTCAATGTGCTTTTCAAAAAAGCCATCCCAGGGAAAACTGCAAATATCAAATCATGTTCTTCAGCGCGTTGAGGAGCACAAACATTTAGGGGTATACTTTACATCATCGCTATCCCGGAAATGTCATATTTCCTATGTTGTTTCTAAATGTAATTCTATTCTGGGCATGATGATGAAGTACAAGTATACGTTTTATACACCTGTGCTTGACCAAATATACAAATCATATATTCTGACTATTTTGAGTTACGCTGATGTTATCTACACATGCACGCCGACGTCATTGTCGACATCCATTTCACGACTACAGTGCTGAGCGGCTCTTCTGGTTTCTGGTGCATTTCATTTGTCCAGCAGAGACAGAGTCTTAGAAATATTGGGATGGCCTGACATTCAGCAGCTCTATGAAATTCATAAGTTAACATTGTTTCGGAAAATAATTAGAGGTGAAGCACCTGAGTATCTCACATCCTGTATTTAAAGTAGAGAGACCGTATACAATTTGCGAAGATATGCAACGTTCAGGTACATTTCTTTCGATTCAGTGGCAGCGGACAGATCCTTCTTCCCATTTATCACCCAGGTTTGGTCAAAACTACCCAACATATAAATATCACGTCTTCAAAAACTTTCCCAAAACAGCTTCTCATCACTATGGATGAATAAAGTCTTTTTTTTTCAGAGCATAGATCTAGCAAGGATCAACTAAAATTATTAGACATAAAAAATGACCGCACGAAAGAGATGTTCGAAACTTTCTATAGTGTCGTCCTGTGGCTTCTGCCTCTTAAGTGCCATACTTTGTTTCTACATTTTTCCTGTTCTTTTTTCTTGTTGTTCTTGATAAATTTTTTGTTTTTCGTACTGTTAGTCTTTTTTTTTCTTTCGTTTTTATCACGCTTTTGTTCGTTTTTTTTTGTTAATTCTGTTCTTATTAGTCTCATTATGTGATTACTTTGTATAGTATTGTGTGAATTCCACTGCTATGAGAATTTTGGGTCTTGATTGTCATGTTCGCGTAATATTTCCTTTTATTGATAGATAAAGTTTACAACATACATTGCTCAGATGGCTCGAGAGCCATTCGAATGGCACATCTACCACACGTTTATTCTTGAATTTATAAAGTAAAGCGGAGTGCAAGACTCTGTGTAGCGCTATGAATAAGTAAAAAACTATATTATTTGCACGCCGGTATGTAAAGTGCATGAGTGGTGTTAGTAAGTTCCACAACAAAAAGTAGCCTGATAACTATGAACTTTGTACTTATCCTAATCTTTTTGAGTATTTTAGCACTCATGAGTACTCATCTAGATCTGATTAAGTGCTACCTACATGTGGGATAAATTTCATTACAAAGTTCCAGCTCTCTAACCCTCGTTATTGTGGAGAAATCGACATCTCAGTATAAATCGCAATGCTTGTTTGAAGAACTTGTAAGATTTATACGCCGACAACGAAGAACCAGAAATCCAAATCCTTTTCTACTCTCACTAGGGCCTTCGCGTGCACGGTATCACGTCAAAAGCGGTGGCACGTAGGGATGATCCATCGTAAGTGCGATACAAGTTTAGGGTATCTCTTAGTCCGAAAAGACGATATTTGATATAAAACAATAAAACTAGAGTAAATATCAATAACTGCTATTCTTCCATAAAACGAAGCTATGTACCACGAGTCGCTAAAA